AAATAAATAAATAAATACTCTATAACAAAAAAAAAATTCAAAATCTCACGAGAAATTGACATTGTCAAAATCTTAGCCGAGCCGAGCCGAGCCTATACAAAGCGTCAAATCGTGGGTATCGGTGAGACATGGTGAAGTAACGAACAAAACCAGAAGTCGTTGTCAAAAAAAAGGGGAAAAAAAAAAAAAAAAGGGTGAATCAGGAAAAAATAGGAAAATGCACGTTGCGGAAATAAATTAATAAAGATCTGCCCTCGTGTCGTGTCGGTATGAGGTGTACAGCTAGATGGGACCACATGAAGTTGTTGGCACGACACGTGTCAATTTCCCAGTTGGACAGCTCATCATTTGCAACGTAGTGGGACCGCTGATTTGTCAGCGGCTTGTCCTTTTTGCAGGATTTTCCAGTTTTGCCCCACAGTGTACTTTGGTGAGGGGTCGCACACGGTTTTCCGCGTGCCACGTCGGATTTGGAACATGCTGCGGTCACGTGATGAACACGTCGACATCACTTTCTGGGCTCTTTTATTTTATTTATTATCCGCCCGAAAGATAAGGCCCAAATCCATTTTTCCCCCCAGTGAAAATGGCCGAAGTCTTTTTGATTAAAATTCTATTTTAATCCCTCTATTTTAACCAAAAAAAATCTCTTTTTAATCTTTTTACTTTAACAAAAAATCTTTTTTTAGTCCATCTATTTAAGAAAATCATTTTTTAATCTCTAAAATTTATTATCCACCCATTTTTCAATCTCTTTATTACTTTTTGTATAGATGACACGTTTAGATGATATAAATTTCAAAGTAAAAGATTAAAAAAAACTAAAAAATGTCTCTTTTTGGTTTTTCTATTTTTTAAAAAAAACCATTTTTAGTTTTTCTACTTTGGATTCTTCGTTATTTAATGTATCATGTGTGCGTAAACATAACAAAAGGATTAAAAAAGAGTTTGATAATAAACTTTAGGACTAAAAAGAATTTATTTATTTTTGTTAAGTAAAGGGAACAAAATGGTGTTTTAACCAATCTTTTATCATAATTTTTTTAAAATTTATGGATTCTATGAATTATGAGTTGAATTTGTTGATGTCAACGAGAAATTAAGGATTATGATATGCAATGATGTGGAATTGAGGATAATTGTAGAAAACATTAAAATTATGAGTTGAATTTGTTGATTTCAATGAGGAATTAAGGATTATGGTATGCAATAATGTTGAATTGAGGATTATTGTAGAAAACATTAAAATTATGAGTTGATTTTGTTGATTTCAATGAGGAACTGAGCATTACGCTATATAATGATGAGGACTTAATGATCATTGTAGAAAACATTAAAATTATGAGTTGAATTTGTTGAATTTAGATGACTTGACCCAACTGTAGATGTGTTGGCTTCCTCTGTGTGTGTTGTGAACTATAGTGTATAGAGTATATGCTTGGCCTTTGATGGACTCCTTCAATTTTCTTCTTTTCAGCCAAAGTATATTTGTCTTTGCTATCATATTTTAGTTGGGGTGAGTTTTATCTTTCTTATGTTTGGTAGTGACAATGGAATGTAGTATTTAATTCATTATCCGTTCTTTGATTTGTTTGTAATTCCAAGCACTTGGCATGAATAACAATAACACACAATAAAACAACAAATTTCTTCCAAAACTCCATTACTCAAAACTTAATTTCCCTTCTTGTAATTCCCATTACCAACATTTATTCTTAAAAAAATCCCACACATCAAGAACTATTGTGCCTGTAATTAGTGCTCATCCCATCCTGTAACCTTGATTTGTTCCAATGGTATGTAAAAACTCGCCGGGAAGATTTTCTTTCCCCGATCAGCTTCATGGGCATCAGCCATCATATCTGAGATTGATGAAAGTGGATAATCAAGATCCTCAGTTTCTATATCTGGGAAAGAAAGATCCTCAGTTTCTATAAGAAAAGAGATTTTTTTGTTAAAGTAAAGGGTTCAAAATGGGATTTTAACCAATCTTTTATCTTGCTTCTACACATTGGTATTAGGATTTGCAATGTTCAAACGTAGAAGACGAATCATCACTGCTACCTGCTGTTCGGATTGTCTGATTCAGGTAATTTCCTTTCATCAAATTCTAAAAATACAAAGGAAATGCCAACACTTAAATAATTTAGTGGTTATCTCCTTCTGTTGAAACTAAAACTAAGAGGTTTTGAGTTCGAGTCATATGACATGTGGGTGGAGTGGGATAAGAGATGAGAGATAATTGTCTCCCATTGTGTAATTAATATAAAAAAAAAAAGTGAAGAAAATATGAGATCTAACCATCTATTTTTTTTTTAATCGTCAAATTCGAAGTTAGATGTCGTAATTCATTGTATGTCAGTAGTTTCTTCACGATGGTTAATGGTTGTTATGGTTTTTGATCCGTTGATCTTCTCTCATCATTTCTGGTATTCGGTTATTTCTTATGTATGAATGTTCTTTTTTTTTTTTTTGCTTTTGAACCGGATTTAGATTTTTCTACATTTATGGATTCTATGAATTGAAAGAACCGAGTTGAATTTTATTAATTCATACAAATAATGAGGATTATTGAAGTTTATATGATTCATTTAATATCATGTGTTTGAAAAATGTTTAATTTGAATTGAATAAGGAATTGAGGATTATTGTAGAAAACATTAAAATTATGAGTTGGATTTGTTGATTTCAATGAGGAATTAAGGATTATGGTATGCAATGATGTGGAATTGAGGATTATTGTAGAAAACATTAAAATTATGAGTTGAATTTATTGAATTTAGATGACCTGACCCTACTATAGATGTGCTGGCTTCCTCTGTGTGTGTGGTGAACTTTAGTGTATAGAGTATATGCTTGGGCTTTGATTGACTTCTTCAATTTTCTTCTTTTCAGCCAAAGTATATTTGTTTTTGCTATCATATTTTTGTTGGAGTGAGTTATATCTTTCTTATGTTTGGTAGTGACAATAGAATGTAGTACTAATTAATTCATTATCTGCTTTTTCATTTGTTTGTAAGTCCAAGCATTTGGCATGAATACTGTAAAATGAAAAGGGGATAAGTTGGTGGGGGCAAAACCAAAACCCCTTTTTTTTCTGGCCTCTGTTGATATCTAGCAAAGCTTTTATATTATGTTATATCCCATGTGTCTATGTAAGAATGAGAAAAACTCTAAACACTACTACTGGCAGTGGCAACAGAAATGGCTGGTGGAGAAGCTCCCCAAAGAGGAAGTGCAGCCGCTGCTGCAGGCATGCGCCGGAGGAGAACAAGTGCTGGGGCCTCAGGAGGGGCAGCTGGAACCATGCTTCAGTTTTACACAGATGATGCGCCAGGACTCAAGATCTCTCCGAACATCGTACTTGCTATGAGCATTGGTTTCATAGCTTTTGTTGCCATTCTTCATGTCATTGGCAAGCTTTATCTTGTTCGCAGAGAAACTTGAAATGGTAGAAACATAGGAAGCCAAGTTCCAAAGTTGTTTTTTTTTTTTTAAGACTGATTCTGCAGGTTTCTTTATGATTTTTGCAATAAATGAATAATAATAACACACAATAAAACAACAGATTTGAACTCCACCAAAGGTCAGATGGGTCGTGCGCTTCATTGACAAAGGTGAAATGTTCATAAGATTTGGAAATCAAATTCTCGGTCGCTAACAATTAATAAAAACTAACCTACTAACCATTATTCTTGTTAAAAAAATAAAAAAAATAAAAAATAAAACAACAAATTCTTCCAAAACTCCATTACTCTAAACTTAATTTCCCTTCTTGTAATTCCCATTACCAACATTTATTCTTCGAAAAATCCCACACATCAAGAACCATTGTGCCTGTAATTAATACTCATCCCATCCTGTAGCCTTGATTTGTTCCAATGGTATGTAAAAACTCTCTGGAAAGATTTTCTTTCCCCAATCAGCTTCATGGGCATCATCAGGCACCATATCTGAGATTGATGAAAGTGGATCATCAAGATCCTCATCAGTTTCGATTCCAGAATTCCAGTCAACACTGTCGATGTAGATGTCCGGACTTGGCAGAGGGATATGCCCAGGACAACCCCTCAACTCCGCCGAAAATCGAGCTTTTGCTTCAAAGAAAGCATCTTTTACCGCTGAATCATTCCATTGCATAACCTTGTCGTATAAATATATGTGCCTCTTGGCATACACAAACCTTTTCCATGACATTCTCCCTACTTCCCAGCAGAACCTTTTTTCAAAGGACAGGATCATGCCATTAGGCTTCGTGTTATGGAACCTTGGATGATGAGTTCCCCTTGTCCCTTCCTGTCGATATCTTCCTCCTCCATCGACTCTTCTCCAGTTAGTTGTGTAGTTTCTCCCAGAAAATCGAGATTGATGGCCATGAAGATAATTAGTGTTATGATCAGGTTTAGGCCTCCAGGGTCGTGGTGGACGAGACATGTTTTCAGATTCATGGCAGTAAGTTCCTTGATCATGACCTCTCTTCCAGATAGACATAATCTTTACCTAGGAAAACAAATCCAAGAAAACAGGAAAAAAGACAAAAGGAAAAATTCTCAGAAGGAGAAAGAGAACATAGACGAGATTGATATGTAGAATGTTTTTATCCTTTTGGTGAATGAAAGATTATACTAGTATGTTGTTATATATACTCTTACATAAAGTCGGTTTATGATTTAGTTTTAGTCCTTGCCTAGCTGGGATTTCTACCAAAAATGGAATTAACTTACCATTTTGATATATATTTTTTCTTTATCACCAAGGAATTAACGGTGATAAAGATTAATAATTTGTAAGTTAATTCACTTAGATATTTTGTATGTGGATTTCAAAATATTTAAAATCAAATGAAAGGGTGTTTGTTAATATCAATCATTGTCTGCTGCAGCTCGTATTCTTTTGCAATTTCTACTAAAACATATTTAGATTTTGTTGTACGTTGGGAGGTAAAAGTTTTTTTATACACTTGATGATGGGTTCTAGCCTTTCCCCTCTTTCTTTTTTTTTTTTTTTTTAAATCACTTTCCACTCGAATTTGATCTTGTTTTAAGATCTTAAATTTGAAATATTAAATTTTTAATTAGTTGAATTACCTGGATGGTTATTGTTATCATTAAATATATGAGGACCACCAATATTTTAGTTTTTTTCCTTAAATGTTGTCTAAAAATATTAATTTGTTAATTAATTTTAATTTATTAACTAATAAATATCAAGTGCTTTATCAATTATTAATTAATACTCCCTTTGTCCCAAAATAATTGTTTTTTTAACTTTAAATTTATTTTTAAATTAATTATCATTTTTTATTTTTTAAAGTACATAAATATTTTTTTTCTTACTTTAACCCTATCATTATTCATTCATTTTAATTAATCATCCAATCATAAAAACTCTTTCTTGTCTTTTATTTTTTTAGAGTATTATAAATAACTATAAATATTGTCTCAATTTCTTAATTTGGAGAACAAATTAAAAAACAACAATTATTTTGGGACAAAATGAGTAGTTACGGGTGGGCCAAAAGAATTCACAATTGAAAAAAATTCAAAAATCAATGAAACTGTAATTGAGGGTAAGGTTTGATTGAGTTTTGAGTTTATTTGATTAAAAATCAAACGAATCGATTTAAAATGATTTGGATTTTAGTTATTAAGTTAAAAAATTAAAAAACCAATTATTATAGTGAGTATAACAAAAAAAAATCCGACTTAGAAACCTTTTATATAAATTTTTTAATGATTTCTAAATTTTTTAAATATTTTTAGCCACTTTTCACCAAATAATTTATTTGGGTAGTTTTTAACTTTTTTAATGATAAAAATTAATAAATGATAATTAAGAAATTCAAAAAAATTACTAAAAATATAAAAATAATTTTTTGATTAAAACGGAAACTCATCTGAATAACTACTTTCAAAAGCATAATTAGGTAACACTATTTTTTTTGTTGATTAATAATTATTGAAATTTAAGACTTAAAATTTTAATTAATTAGTATTGTAGTTTCAATTATAACCAAAATCAAATTGTGTCCACTTTTATAAGTAATTACAGTTATTAATTATTTTTTTATTTTATATATTTTTTATCTTGATTGCACAATAACAAACAATCATCTCATCTCTTATCACATCTCACTCATATGTCATGCATTATAACTCAATCCTTCTTACTTTCAGTGAAAGACGATAATTATTTAACTATATAACTCGTTAGCATTATTTTTTTTATTAAATTAAATAAAATTAATAATTTTAAAGATATTATTGTATAATTTTAATGATCTTAACATTCATAATTAATAATGGTTATAACCATTCTCGGCCTTAGTGGTGTAATTGTTTCCTTTTTAGGTGGTTTAATTAGTTTTTTAACTCACAAATCAAGGTGGTCTTAAGCAAGCCAGGCGATTTAATTGGTACACCAATACGCGAGCTCGGTCCTTCTCGTCTTAGTTTTCTTGATTTTTTTTTTATTTTTTTTATCTTACTTGCATAATAAATGATAATTATTTTTTATTTTTTATCTCATTCCACTCGTATACCTATATAATGTATGACCCAAAATAAAAGAAGATAACAACTAAACACCTTAAATTAGCTGATGTCTTCCCCTTTTCTTTTACTCCGATTATGGATAAAACTCATAAAAGCATGGAGGACTCCTTACCGTCGTCTTCACGCTAAAGAAAGAAAATCGCTTTGCTGCCCCTAAAAATTTATTAGTTCTAAAGACAAAAGACCTAACTGTGTATATATATGGGTAGAGGTACATACTTGATCCATCTCAGTCCTACTCTTTTTCTCGTTTTCTTGATCTCTTCACCTTTTCTTTACCTCCAATCCATTGAAGAAGGATCAAAGCATGGAGCAATCTTGGCCGTCGTCATGTTTTAGGCTTCCAAATCCGTTATCTTCACCCTACGACGTTGGCTTCCACTTTGTTCCCACCGATGTCGAACTCTTGCATTACCTCCGAGACAAGGTTCTCAACCCCAGCTATGATCCTGGCTTGATTATGACCACCGATGTTTACAAGCATGAACCCTGGTTTCTCCCCTGGGATCCCGCCGATGACTTCCTTTTTCATGGCCATGAGCGTTATTTCTTTGTCCAGAGAAAGCCCTTCTCTAGAAGGGATACGGGGACCAGGCCCAGACGCACCATTGATTCCGAACAAGGCTGGTGGAACTCTAACACCGACGATAAACCCATCTACGATGAAGGAGGAATGGTGATGGGTTTCGTCAAGTCTCTCACTTTCTTCGTCAAAGACGAAACCAAGAAGCGTAAGGCTGGGGATTCTAAGAATCGGAAGCAAGATGGGATAAAAACGGACTGGATTATGCATGAATACATGCTAGAACAAAGGAAAGTCCGACAATGGGTTCTTTGCCGTATTCAATACAATGGTAAACCCCCTTTATACTTCTCACCATCACCACAGATGATATCGCAGTGCAGCGGAGGACCTGATCCGCTACAACCACCACCACCACAGACGTTGTATTGCAGCGGAGGACCTGATCCGATGCAACCACCACCGCAGACATTATGGCAGTACAGTGGAGGGCCTGATACGCTGCTGCCACCGCCACAGGCATCACATTGCAGTAGAGGACCTGACGATCTGACGCAACCATCACCTCCACAAAGCGACTCAGGAGTAGTAGGGTTCAAGAATCAGAGTCACAGCCCCTTTAAGTTCAAGAATCAGTAGTAGTGGCCGGAGTTGATGGCGATGCAGAAGAAGATATAGCCAGTTGGGTTGATTCACTCATTTGTGATCTTGTTTAAGATTAATTGACTATCCATGTAAAGAAAAAAAGAAAAAGAACTTATGCATGACACTACAATGATCCAGTTGTAAATCTTATTCTCTCTCTCTTATTAATCTCTTTATTATTGTTTGCACAAGTCATATTCTAGCTTCTGATCTTTTGAGTAACAAATGATAGCTGCTTTGAAGTTGTAGTTATTCCATAATCAACAAAAGGATTCAATTGCATGAATTAGTTGACCAAATTAAGGCTCTGTGCCATTGGTGCACCATGATCAATTTATATAACTATAATTCATAATAGTGTTTTGGCAATTACATGACAGGGTGTGTTAGTAGAGATGCAGTGAAATAGTCATAGCTTGATCCAAATAAGTTATGATGACAGGATCTCTGCTCTGTCAAACCGTTAGCGATGCATCATCTAAGTGCTCTTCCAAGTATCCACACCAGAGTCCAACGCAAAATAAAATCTTGATAGCTACACCACATGTTTCATAACCTAGACCAGAAATTCATGGAGGAATAACAAACAGCAACCAAAATGAAGCTCCAATAGCAAAAGCTGCAAAACGAGAACCTGCTTCAAGATAATATCGTAGGAATCTTTCAAAAGGGTTGCATGCTTCATGTGAAGCAGTTTCACATTTAATAAAGCCATACCACAAACCTGCAATTGAAACTATTTTTTATTGGAGGAACATATATCTAACTTGCACCAGTTTTGGAGGACGCCTTCTTTTTCCTCTTGCTCTTGGGCTTCACAGCATCTTCTAAAGTTCTCTCCTTTTTTGTCTGCAATCCAGTTAAAGATTCATTAATAGCTGAAGAGCCTGGGTTCGCATCTTCTGGATGATGTCCCTCTACTTCAGCTTCACCAGGCTTTTTCTCATTTCTCAAATCTTGTTTCTCATTAGGCATAGACGTTCCTGCAGATTCCACATGCAGCCAAGGTAAGATTTTGGGCTTTTCATGTCCCAGTAAATAGTATCTCAAGTAAAAACTGTGTAGTGTGTATACAGCATGCAAAAATTACATGAAATATATGGTAGCAAAACTTCTTATGAAATAAGCCAGTTGGTTTATGCAACATAAAAGGAGAAGACAGCTGCCAGACATGAAAAAAATTTCACAACACTGCCAGATGGCAGCTTTCTGTTTGAAAGCATGTTCTAACCGGCACATCATCAAGTTAGAAGATAAATCTTAAGACATAAACATGTTGTACGAACATGATAAAGCATAGTGCAAAAATCCAGCAGCTAGGTCTTTACTGCCAAACATTCACCAAGCACTTCACCAAGGAGATTAACCATTAATCAAGACAAGCAAAAGAGTTAATGCATTTTACTGAGAATAAAAAGACTGCATGCCTTGTGAGGCTAGTGAAGTCTTCAATAATTCTGGACCAACACCTTTTGAGTAAGGATCCCTGAAGAGCACACAATTTATGTAATTAGAAATATTCAAGCTAAAATAAATGAAGATGTCAAGAAGGGGAGCCTCTCACTGAAAAAGACTAACACCTTACCAAGTGGTGGGCCCCCTGATTAAATTCTTAGCATTGCCATCTGTACTAGTAGTTTTTCTTTCTTCAGATGATTGACTTGTGCAGGTTTCTCCTGATAACTGCTTTAATCTCTCTATATGGTTTCCTGGTGACTCACTAACTCCCTCCTTACCGCTGGTTTGAGTTTGGCCCCCTTGCACAATAGTACCAACAGAAGTAGGGTGGCGTTTGATCTTTCGCAAAGATCTCTCCGTGTTGTACACTTCAACCTAAAAATCAGTTTGTTGGAAAAAAAAGTAAAGCCTTAAGCAGGCAACAGTAACTCAGTGGATAAATGCTACTAAAAACAAGCAACTTGAATCAAGTTACTTGACAAAAGAAATAAGAGATGATTCATATAAAAATGAAGAGAGTATAGTCAGATTTGGATCATGTTTGTAAGCACTTTTTTTTTTTCTTAAATCTCATGAAAATCTTGGCATCTGGATTAAGGTTGGGTTTAGCAGAATAATTAATATTTTTTGTTTTTCCCTTGTTGCAGTGAAAGTCATATTTCCCCATTCTCCTCTCCCCCTCTCTCTCAAGTCACTCTAGTTTGGAAGAGAGAACTCACTGCTTCTTTTATTTGTTTTGTTATACCAGTAGCCTTTGCAATAGCAAGTTGCAAACATTGCATGATGACTCTCTGGGTGACACCTTCACCTCCAGCTTTTTGAATTGCACAAATATCACCATTTGCATTAACTGTAGCAGTCATTCTTCCACTCATAACAGCCTCCTCATTGTGGGTTGGATCTATCACCTGCATACATTTAATCACATTGAAAGGAAAGCATATTGATGAAACTTTAGCACCAAAAGGGCTGCATTATGGAGAAGTAAACAGAAAAATCATTAGGACAAAATGTGCATACCGAAATGCTCTCATCATTGAAAAATCCAAAAGTAATTGCAATGGGAAGATGATGGACAGTCAAAGGAAGTGGCTCCTTCACCTGGCAATAAAAAATGCAGAATAACTTATAGAATTATATGAGCGTATATGATTGAATCAAAAGGCTAAACAAAGAAATTAAACAGTAAAAGTAAAAAAATCTAGCATCCATGTTAAGGTCTGCAGATGGGGGTGCTGACATACAGCAGATATCCAAAGAAAATATACATGAAAGCTGGAATCTAAGGGTAATCAGAATTGAAGGAATATATTTAGCTCTGCAGATTGCTTAAAATCGGACATGAACACAAAAATTGTGGTCTGAAGCATTGCCACAGCTCTAGCCTGCAGTTTTCTGGCAGTAAGTAGATGCAAGGGGAAAAAAACAAACATGCTTTAAGATGTCTACAGTTATGAAAAAAAAAAGGAGGAAAAAAAAACTCACATGACTGCTAACAATAGTGCCCCAACTTGACAAAGTTTGGACTTTGGATAGGAATTCAGGATTCAAACAGGAAACTAACAAATAAAAGCCAGAAAACAACTTCCAATAATTAAATAAATAAACAATCAAACAAATTTAATGCCACAAATAGGATATTAGAGAATCTGACCTCTGGTGGATGTACTATAACTTGTTGACCATCTTCTCCTCCTAGTGAGCACTCAGGTCTTCGAAATGTCAACAGTGCAGACAAAGCAGCAATATTTGAAGCATCAACAAGGTTTCTGATTCCAAAATCAATATACTGATCAAAACTAAGAATAAAAATCTAACCCAAGAAGGAAAAAGAAAATATAAGAAATGAGAAGGTTCTGTTAGTACCCCCCATTATCTAGGATGTGGAGATCAATACGGATGGCCCATACTAACTTGCCAGCTAGAACACAAAGTGATTCAGTATCAATAGCCCTGCTTTCCCTGCAAGATCATTCAAAATCTTCACCTTCAAATTGTTTTCATTTAAGTACAGAACTGCAAAGTAATAGAATCACAAGTTCCATGAGATCCAGATAGCTCATATAATCTTGATAAAATCTAGAGGATGTGAAGTAACATTCACAGAATAAACTTGAAAACATAGAAACTCCTCTGTAACATAGGTCTGGCATACAAGAGCACTACTGAAGTTTCAAACTTCTACAATGACAAAAATCTAAGTGTAATAAGTCTACACATTCAGAAAAGTTAAAAGGAAAACAGCATCCTAATGGAAATTGGTTGCACAAAAAATGAGAAATAAAAATATCACCTTAGACCCCGATCTACTATTCGTCCCAACTCCACAGCAGATTCTCCTGGACGGCCTGGCTCGAATGAAGGATCAGCCATTGGTGAAAATTCTGTGAAGATAGAAAGTGTCCCTTCATTGGGCCGATCTCGATAGGGTTGAACCAGTTGGGTAGTCACAATACCCATAACACGAGTCTGGCCTAACTGCACCTCTGATGACCCATCATCCCTAGAAATTCCACATGGCAAGACAAATATTTATTTTTGATGAAACTATCACCTTCAAACCAAAATTACAATAACCTAAACAAGCAAACTGGCAAAAAATCAGGCATTTACAAGATAATTCAGTAGCATCCAATTTATGTCAGTTGTTTGTTTAATTGACTGAATGGTCGAAATAAGATTCAGATTCAACTTGAAGATCAAATTACCAGATAACAAATCAGGAGCTGCATTAATCAAGACCAGCAATTTAAATAACAAGAAAGGAAAACCAATAACTGAGGACTAGCTATATAACATCCAGAAAAAATGAAAATCCAGGAAGAAAGAATAGTTCGGAAAGCAGAATCGCCTTTAAAAACAACTAATGGCTAAAGACTGACCAATCGAAATACCTCTGCATTCAGACAAATTTCATACATCCACTTATTTACAGGCTTTCCAATACAATTTGAACATAAACCCAGCTTTGATACTAAACAAAGTCACACATAAATAAACACAACACAAGAACTAAACTTGCCTGCCAAACTTGATGCTGATTTTTCGGTATTCGTATGGTTTTCGACCATCGATTCTGATTTCAGATTGCAACGCAGTTTTGATAAAATTCTTCTCGTTCACAGTCAACCGCCAGCTATTAGCCAACCTAGAATCCATTCTAACTCAGTACCCTGCTAAAACTGAGGGCAAAAGATTCAGCATTTAAAGAACCCAATTAAGAATTGCTCTCGCACATTTCATCAAACAGTTTCCTCCATTAAGGGAAGCTAAACTGAGCAATTGAGTAGCTAGTAGCCACACCATTACAGGCAAAATCACTGAAATTTATTGGAAAAAAATTGAGAAAAAAAAAAAAGGAAGAAAGATTGAAACTTACTAGCTATTTCAACTCTTTGCCTTCTTCTTCAAGATTGAATATTGGATAAAATTATCGAATTTATGATTAAAAAAAAAATGCAGAGAAGCAGCAGAGAGAGAAGGGAGTGTCCAAAATCCTAGGGTTTTTGGTTTTCCTTAAGCCGCTTTTTCCCTCTACGTTTTTATGGCGAATTGCAATCTCTCCCCATAATTTCATCATAATTACAAATTCGTGCAATGTGTTTTTTGAAACTATAA